AAAGGCAACTAGTTTTCTATAATTCTGTAAATGGGCTAATAATTAATTAATAAGTAATGAGTTCAGTGCACTTGCCCTATTAGAATCCAGGCTAAGGGAAGCAAATGAATAAGAAGCAACCACTATAATGTTGCCTAAAAAGTACTGCTTTCAAGTATTGCCATCTGAATCTGCTGTAAATTTGTTGCTCTAAAACTTGAAAAGAAATGTTTTGGAAAGAAAAATATTTAAATTACAATGCATAGCATAACAAAAATAGAAAGGCCTCAAGGTGTACCACTACAGGAAACCATCAAATCACAAAGAAAGACAGCAAGAGAAATAAAAAAACAAAGTACCTACACAACAACTAGAAAGTAATTCACAATGCTGGGTGGGCGTGGTCACTAACACCTGTAATTCCAGCCCTTTGAGAGGCTGAGGCAAAAGGATTGCTTGAGGCCAGGAGTTTGAGACCAGTGTGAGCAAAACATTAAGACCTGACTCTTAAAAAAAAAAAGTTTTAAAAAAATTTATCTGGGTGTGGTAGCACATGCCTGTAATATCAGCTGCTCAGAGGGCTGAGGCAGTAGGACCTCTTCATCCCAGGAGTTCAAGGTTATAGCGACCTATGATCACACCATTGCACTCTGGCCTAGGTGACAGAGCAAGACCCTGTCTCAAATAAATAAATAAATAAATAAATAAATAAATGGCACTAATAAGACTTTACCTTTCAATAATAACCTTAAATCTAAATGAATTACACTCTAACAAAAAGACATAGAGTCTTAATTGCCAGAGCAATTTAGAAAGAGTAAGAAGGCCAGGCATGGTGGCTCAAGCCTGTAATCCCAGCACTTTGGGAGGCCGAGACGGGTGGATCACGAGGTCAAGAGATCGAGACCATCCTGGTCAACATGATGAAACCCCATCTCTACAAAAAAATACAAAAAATTAGCTGGGCATGGTGGCGCGTGCCTGTAATCCCAGCTACTTGGGAGGCTGAGGCAGGAGAATTGCCTGAACCCAGGAGGCGGAGGTTGCGATGAGCCGAGATCGTGCCATTGCACTCCAGCCTGGGTAACAAGAGCAAAACTCCGTCTCAAAAAAAAAAAAAAAAAGAGTAAGAGAAGATGATCCATCTACATGCTGCCTACAAGAGATTTGCTTTTAAGGAGGCACACAGGTTGAAAGTGAGCAGCTGAGACATACAAAGAGGAGCTGATACCACTCCTTCTGAAACTATTCCAAACAATCCAAAAAGAGGGAATCCTTCCCAAATCATTTTATGAGACCAACATTATTCTGATATCAAAACCCAGCAGGGACTCAACAAAAAAAGAAAACTTCAGGCCAATATCCATGATAAATATAGATGCAAAAATATTCAATAAAATACTAGCAAACCGATTGCAACGGAACATCAAAAAGCTTATCCATAACGATCAAGTAGGCTTCATCCCAGGGATGCAAGGCTTGGGCTGGTTCAACATACGCAAGTCTATAAATGTAATTCAACACAAACACAGAGCCAAAGACAAAAACCACATGATTATCTCAATTGATGCCGAGAAGGCCTTCAACAAAATTCAGCAGCCCTTTATGCTAAAAACTCTATACCAACTCTATGCTAAAAACTTTATACCAATAAACTAGGTATCAATGAATGTACCTCAAAATAATAAAAGCTATTAATGACAAACCCACAGCCAATATCATACGGAATGGGCAAAAACTGGAAGCATTCCCTTTGAAATCTGGCACTAGACAAGGATGCCCTCTCTCACTACTCTTTTTCAACATAGTATTGAAAGTTCTAGCCAGAACAATCAGGCAAGAAAAAGAAAGGGTATTCAATTAGGAAAGGAAGAAGTCAAATTGTCTCTATTTGTAGACAATATGATTGTATATTTAGAAAAATCCCATCGTCTCAGCCTAAAATCTCCTTAAACTGATAAGCAACTTCAGCAAAGCCTCAGGATACAAAATCAATGTGTAGAAATCACAAGCATTCCTATACACCAATTATAGACTTAAAGAGAGCCACATCAAGAACAAACTGCCATTCACAATTGCTACAAAGAGAATAAAATACCTAGGAATACAACTAACAAAGGATGTAAAGGACCTCTTCAAGGAAAACTACAAACCACTGCTCAAGGAAATAAGAGAGGACACAAACAGATGGAAAAACATTCCATGCCCATGGTTAAGAATCAGTATCATGCAAATAGCCATACTGCCCAAAGTAATCTAGAGATTCAATGCTATCCCCAACAAGCTAGCTATGACCCTCTTCACAGAACTGGAAAAAAACACCTTAAACTTCATATGGAGCCAAAAGAGAGCCCACATAGCCAAGTCAATTCTAAGCAAAAAGAACAAAGCTGGAGGCATCATGCTACCTGACTTCAAACTATACTACAAGGCTACAGTAATCAAAACAGCATGGTATTGGTACCAAAACAGAGATATAGACCAGTGGAACAGAACAGAGGCCTCAGAGGCAAGGCCACACATCTACAACCATCTGATCTTTGACAAACCTCACAAAAACAAGCAATGGGGAAAGGATTCCCTGTTTAATAAATGGTGTTGGGAAAAGTGGCTAGCCATGTGCAGAAAGCAGAAACTGGACCCCTTCCTGACACCTTATACTAAAATTAACTCCAGATAGATTAAAGACTTAAACATAAGACCTAACACTATAAAAACCCTATAAGAAAACCTAGGCAAAACCATTCAGGACAGAGGCATAGGCAAGGACTTCATGACTAAAACACCAAAAGCATTGGCAACAAAAGCCAAAATAGACAAATGGGATCTAATTAAACTTAAGAGCTTCTGCACAGCAAAAGAAATAATCATTAGAGTGAACTGGCAACCAACAGAATGGGAAAAAATTTTTGCAATCTACCCATCTGACAAAGGGCTAATATCCAGAATCTGCAAAGAACTAAAACAGATTTACAAGAGAAAAACAAACCCATTCAAAAGTGGGCAAAGGATATGAACAGGCACTTTTCAAAAGAAGACATATATGAGGCCAATAAACATATGAAAAAATGCTCATCATTGCTGGTCATTAGAGAAATGCAAATCAAAACCACACTGAGATAACATCTCACACCAGTTAGAATGGCAATCATTAAAAAATCTGGAGACAACAGATGCTGGAGAGGATGTGGAGAAATAGGAACAGTTTTACACTGTTGGTGGGAATGTAAATCAGTTCAACTATTGTGGAAGACAGTGTGGTAATTCCTCAAGGACCTAGAAATAGAAATTTCATTTGACCCAGTAATCCCATTACTGGGTATATATCCAAAGGATTATAAATCATTCTATTATAAAGACACATGTGTACATATATTCATTGTGGCACTGTTTACAACAGCAAAGACCTGGAACCAACCCAAATGCCCATCGATGATAGGCTGGACAGGGAAAATGTGACACATATACACCATGGAATATTATGCAGCCACAAAAAATGATGAGTTTGTGTTCTTTGTAGGGACATGGATGAACCTGGAAACCATCATTCTCAGCAAACTGACACAGGAGCAGAAAATCAAACACAGCATGTTCTCACTCATAGGCGGTGTTGAACAATGAGAACACATGGTCACAGGAAGGGAAGCATCACACACTGAGGTCTGTGGGAGAGAACTAGGGGAGGGACAGCGGGGGGTGGGAAGTTGGGGAGGGATAACATGGGGAGTAATGCCAGATATAGGTGATGGGGAGGAAGGCGGCAAACCACATTGCCCTGTATGTACCTATGCAACAATCCTGCATGTTCTTCACATGTACCCCGAAACCTAAAACGCAATAAAATATTTTTTAAAAAATTTTTTAAATGTTTATATCCATTCTATTTTCAGATATTCTTGTAAAAAATTATCTGATTAAATATTTTTTGAAAACAAATCCTTTCTCTACAAGAGACTAATTGTCTTAGTGTATCCCTAGCTTTCAAAGTACATATGTACAGAAAGACAATAGAAGAGTCAAAAGCATCAATGCTGTCATTCAAACAGATTGCTTCCAATGCTTCTGTCCTTAGAGGTGTGGCTTCCTGTGGAAAGGAGGGGAAGGGAATGCCACTTCTCTACATCGTATTTAGGTTAGATTTTAATACAATGTGATGTTACTTTCAGGAATTATATGTGGCATCAATACTTTGAATATTAGGAGGACCAAAATATACTACATAATTTCAAATTAACTAAAAAAAATATTAAAAATCAGACTGACTCTAAAAACAACACTAAAATTCTTCTTGCCAGATACATGAAGTAAAATGAGGGCAACAAAGAAAGTTTGGCTTAGATTAACTTTAATGAAACATTCAGAAATGTAATTTATGAAAGTAAAAAAGAATGTTCCTTTTCTTTCAACTCTGAAAATATCAAATTGTCCCTAAGAATAAAAATAGTATACACATAAACACTTCTCCCATATAACTAACATTGCTTGAAGACTTTTATTCTTCCACATTGTTTTATTTTATTTTAGAGACCATCTTATTCTATTGCCCACACTGAAGTGAAGTGGGGGAATCATGGCTCACTGTAACCTCAACCTCCTGGGCTCAAGCAATCCTCCCACCTTAGCCTCCCAAGTAGTTGGGAATATAGGTATATGCCACCACGCCCAGCTAATTTTTGTATTTTACAGAGGCAGGGTTTCACCATGTTCCCCAAAGTGATCTCGAACTCCTAGCCTCCAGTGATCCTTCCAGCTCAGTCTCCCAAACTGCTGGGATTACAGGCATGAGCCACCACATCCAGCCTTGCTCTTTCAGACTTTTAAGTAAAACAGAAGTAGGACAATCAGGCAGTATCTTAATCAAAAAATAAGTAAAATAATATATGATCTTTAGAAAACTATAATTATTACCTTGTTGCCTCTGATCCTAGGAAGCTTACTGTGGTAATTTTTAAAATTAGCATGACAATATTTAAATGTAAATGCTTACTGAAAGCCAAAAGAAACAATAAATATTCCCTTACCTTATAAGACGGCAAAAAACACAAAATTCCTTGGCTCACAGTCTGGCACACAGATAATAAAAGTGCTCCCACTTCATCTTGGAACTCAAATGTTTCAGTATTTTGGAAGGTAGCACAGAGATTCCGACCCTTGGGGCCTGATCCAATGGTACCAACCCAAACCTAGAATATGAGTACATCATTATATTAGAGTTATGCCTGAAAACGGTATGGAAATTAGCATTTATTTGGAAGTATTTACATAAAAGATCAAGCAGTAAGTTTAACAGAAATTTATTTTTAAATTGTTGGGGTTTTATTACCTTTAATTGTATACAGATTTAACTTATAATAGTTTTGCTTTTAACAGATCACTAAATTTTCTTAGAGTGAAAATTCTTTGAAAGCAAAACAGGTTGTACCTGTCTCGATTTACTTAATAGCTTTGCCAAATTTAAGCATGTAACACATTTCTGTTAGGTGAAGAAATGAACAAGTGAAATGAATATATGCCAATAGCAGAATCAGGTAATTCCAAAATACTGGGGATGAAGGCCAGTGCAATTTGCCACAGGCAAGTCTCAAAAATGACAGGAACTACCCTTTTAAAAATTCATTGGTGCTCAGAGATCCTTGGTCATAGAAAAACCATACCCACTACATTTTATAGTTATTTGCAATTCTATCTCCCTTATATGTAGAGAGATGAAGAGAGAAGAAATTTTGCAAAATATTAACAAGTGATGAATCTAGGTGAAGGATATAAAGATATTCACTATATTAATATTATTTTTCCAACTTTTTTGAAATTTCTAATTTTTTGAAATACAGTTGAGAGAATCGATGGATGAATGAATTATCAAAATGTGGCATTGAGTAGAAAAAAATAAACTTTTCCCTTTGCTCTCATGCCACAACAATCAACACAGAAAACTTTTATGACTAAATGTCTGGGAGGTTTTCTCCACATATCAAGCAAGCAATCAACTCTGCAACAGACATCAACTAGGTGCCCTCTGATTCAATTCAATTTTGACACTATCTACTGGGAAATAACTTCAGATCCCGGAGACTGAGGGCTCAGTCCTCAAGACTGCTGCCAATTTGTTGCCAGTCACAATTGTTTTACTTGTGCTTCTGACTGATCAGCTAGAAATCAGGCATCCTATAACCCTCTGCTCGGGTTCAATTAATTTGGTAGAGCTGCTCATAGAACCCAGGGCCACATTTACCTACATTTACCGATTTATCATAAAAGATATTACAAAGGATACAAATAAAGAGATGTATGTGCGAAGGGGCTCGGAGCTTTGATTCCCAGGCACACCACTCTCCAGAACCTCCAAGTGTTCAGCTATCTGGAAGCTCTCTGAACCCTGTCCTTCCAGGTTTTTATGGAGGCTTTCATTATGTAGGCACGATTAATTAAACCACTGGCCATTAGGATAAACTTAACCTTTAGCACCATCTCCCCCAAGCCCTCCCCAGAGGGTAAGGAATGGGGACAAAAATCCCAACTCTCCTATAGACCAGCCCCCATCCTGATGCTACCTAGCGCCCCCTAACATTAGTCATCTCATTAGCATACAAAATGTCACTTTGGAGATTGTAAGGATTTTAGGAGTTGCATGCCAGGAAATGAAGTGGAAAATTAAATATATATATATTATAATATCACAGGCATATACACACAAGAAACACTATTCACCTTTAAAGAGGAAACTCTGGCACATGCAATAAAATAGATGAACTCTGAAGACATTATCTATAAGATGGACAAACCTTGAGGATACTATGCTAAGTAAAATAAGCCAGTCACAAAAAAGAAATAATTTATGATTCCACTTATATGAAGTATCTATAGTAATCAAGACCATAGAAACAAAAAGTAGAAGGGTAGTTACCAGGAGCTGGGGAGAGGGAGGGAATGGAGAGTTGCTTAATAGAAATAGAGTTTCAGTTTTTCAAGAGGAGAAAGTCTTGACATTGGTTGCATAACAATAGGTACATGCTTAATAAGACTGAGCTGTATACTCAAAAATGGTTAAGATGGTAAATTTTATGTCATGTATATTCTACCACAATTAAAATTTTTAAAAAATTTAAGTTTAGGGAAAATATTATGGTATAACAGAATCCAGTGGCACAACTACCATTATTATTATAATTCAGTGACATTATAGGTTAAATGAACTTTTGTACAGTAGGTTGAGAACACAGAGCCTGTAATAACATTCTTACGAGAAAACGTATGCTGAATTTGCCAACTTCCCATATTTATCTGTGCCTCAAGAAAGCAACCTGAAAATGTGGAACATGTATTCTTCCTTCACTGCTGTTCATAGTTGCAATTCTCAACAGGAACACTCTAGCATTTTGGAAAGCACAATTCTTAGCTACATAGTTTAGCATTCTAGTTCCCAAATGCCAAATGCCATAGTTGTTCCCAAGTAATTGTGAGAACCAAAAATGTTCCCACCTATAAACCTGTTCTTTAATAAAGAACTAGCATTGTGTTAGGCACACAGGTGATGTTAAGCCCATAGCTAACCACTTCATAAAAGAAACTAGAAGGCATAATGAAAAATGACAATCTATACATTTCTACAAAAATTAAAATAACATTTATTAGGCATCATTATAAAACATTAGAAAGCTAAATCATAGGATTTGTAAGAGTACTTTTAATTCATTTCACATATTCAAACATGCTGAATACTTGCCAAATACCAGCTACTAATCTAGGCACAGAGGAAAAATGTGGATATAAAAGGAAGAAACAGGATACACTGTAGTGTAATGGAAAAGAGAAGCATAAATAACTATACAAGCTGGGCATGGCAGTATATGCCTGTAAGTCCCAGCTCCTCAAGAGGCGGAGGCAGGAGGACTGCTTGAGCCCAGGAGTTTGAAACCAGCCTAGGCAGCATAGCAAGACCTTGTCTCTAAAAAGATAAAGAAAGTCTGGCCAATGTGGCAAAACCCCATCTCTACTAAAAACATGAAAGTGAGCTGGGCATAGTGGCACACACCCATAATCCCAGCTACTCGGGAGGCTGAGGTATGAGAATCGCTGGAACCTGGGAGGTGAAGGTTGCAGTGAACCAAAATCGCACCACTGCACTCCAGCCTGGGTGATAGAGCAAAACCTTATCTCAAAAAATAAAAGTAAAAATAACAATACAGAGGTAAATAAATAAAACATAAATAGGTTGGGCATGGTGGCTCACGCCTGTAATCCCAGCACTTTGGGAGGCTGAAGCAGACACATCATTTAAGGGCAGGAGTTAGAGACCAGCCTGGACAACATGGTGAAACCCTGTCTCTACTAAAAGTAAAATAAATAAATAAAACAAAAAATTAGCTGGGCATGTGGCGCACACCTGTAATCTCAGCTACTCGGAAGGCTGAGGTAGGAAAATTCTTTGAACCCAGGAGGCAGAGATTGCAGTTGGCTGAGAGAGCACCACTGCATTCCAGCCTGGGCAACAGAGCAAGACTGTGTCTCATAAATAAACAAACAAACAAACACAAATAATTATACAATGAGAACTAAAGAAATCAAAAATTTGTTTTCATTACAAAACTAAAACTTATTTAAATGAAGCTGAAATACAGCCTTTGTATCCCAAGTGACTGGATTATTTCCTTCTGTTGACAAACTATTAAGTAGCCGACAGATTATCTTTTATTGTAAAATTGGAATGTTGAATTTCCTATCAAGATTTACTTGCTGGCACTTCAGGTACCTCCTAACTTGTTTAAACAGAGTTATATTGAAGTAGAAACACTGAAACCTTTCAAAAACAAACATAACAACAACAAAAAAAATAACTAACCTGTGAATTTTTAATGACATGATTAGCCTCCAGCTGGATAGTAAACGTAACACCAAGTTCTGACGAAAAGGATTTCATTGGTGATAATGTACCGGATGTCAAAACAATAGTCCGAACTTTGCCATTAATATCTGAAAAGGCCTAAAAGAAAATAACATTAGCTATATAAAATTATCTTTTAAAAGGCCAGGCAAAGTGGCTCATACCTGTAATCCCAGCACTTTGGGAGACTGAAGCAGGAGGAATGCTTGAGTCTAGGAGTCTGAGATCAGCCTGGGCAATATGCTGAAACCCTATCTCTACAAAAATTACAAAAATTAGCTGGGCATGGAGGCACATGCCTGTAGTCCCAGCTACTTGGGAGGCTAAGATGGGAGGATCACTTGAGCCCAGGAGGTCAAGGCTGCACTGAGCCGAGATTGCACCACCACATTCCAGTGTGGGTGAAAGAGTGAGACCTTGCTTCAAAAAAACAACAACAAAAACAAAACAACTATCTTTTAAAGAGTCAACCATGTTCATTAAAATGCTGGTACTGAGCAAGAAGACAAAATTGCCATTTATATGATGAGCTTACCACAGCTGGATTTAAGCACCAAAAGTTGAGCACATGAACTGCAGTCTTTTGTCGTGAACGTTTCTTATTTTTTGGTAGAACCAACCACCCATTTTTATCTGAAATATCAATCTGATTTGTCCATGAGTAAGTCTGTTGAATAGCAATTTTATAATCATCTGCAAATCTAGATGCAAAGAAAATGCTAATTAAATGGCAAAACTTTATAAAACCTATAACCCATCTACATGCAATATAAAAACTGATTATATTAAAACTCATTTGAAAGAGTTGGTACCTTCCCATTCAAAGATAACATTCTCATTACCATTAATTAAATTCAGTAATTCTGATATCAGTTAAGCCATTAAATCCTAGAATCAACCGATTCTCAGAGGGAATATCAGCCATCATCTAACCATCTATCTTTTACCAGCTACTTTCTAACCTCATTTTCAAACATTATATATGTCACGGCAGAAGCGGAATTAAAATCCAGGCCTCCTAATTCCCAGTCCAGAGCTCTCTGCATTCTCTACTATATGATTAGTTACAAAATAGAAAACAGTATTATGGTTAAAGGAACTAAAAGGTGGGTTATACTTTTTTACTACATGAGAAAATAGGAAGGTAAGTTTTACTTAAAGTTTTGAAAGTGTTAGCAGCTAATTATAAAATTTTTACATTCCTTTGAAACCTGAGTCTCGGCCTTCATCCACTTTTAATGAAGGTACTGAACCAGATGATATCTGTGATCTCATCCAGTTTATAACTACTTTCAATAAGAATCTAGAAAATGGCTAAGCTTAAAAAGAGTAAAATGTGGTATTCTCTACCATGTCTTCACTGTAGTATTTCATTATTGATTTCACTCCTAGAGAGATGAGATCTCAAAATTAAAGCTGTGAACTTAACAACCATGGAGAGAATCTTATAAAACTATGGGGAGCCAAAAACTGTAAAACTCTTAAAAGAAAACAAAGGGGAAATCTTCATGACATCAGATTTGGCAATGATTTACTGGATGTGACACTAAAAGTACAGGCAACAACAACAACAACAACAAAAAAAAAAAAAAAAAACAGAAAAAGAAATTACACTTAAGATTAAAAAGCTTTTCTGCATCAAAGGACACTATCAATAAGTGAAAAAACCCATAGAATGGGAGAAAATATTTGTAAAGCGTATATCTCTTACAGGATTGACATCCAGAATATATAAATAACTACAATTCAATAACCAAAAATCCAGTAATTCAAAAATGAGCAAAAGACTTCAACAGATATTTCTCCAAAAAAGACATACAATTGGCCAATAAAGCACAAGAAAAGATTCTCAATATCTCTAGTTATTAGGAAATACAAATAAAAACCAGGAGATATCACTTGATACCTATTAGGATGGCTATTATACAAAAAGCAAAATAAAATGTGTCGGCAAAATAACAATTCTGATATATGCTGCTATGTAGACTGTTGGCATGGATATGGAGAAATTGGAACCCTTGTGCATTGCTAATGGGAATGCAAAATAGTGCAGTTGTTGTGGAAAACAGTATGCCAAGTCCTTAAAAAGTTAAATGTAGCACTACCATATGGTCCTGCAATTCCATTGCTAGGTATGTATATACACCCAGAAGAACTGAAGGCAGAAATAAGATATTTGTATACCAACATTCATAGTAGCATTGTTCACAAAAGGCAAAAAATGAAAACAACCCAAATGTCCATTAACATAATAATAAATTAACAAAATGTGGTATATACACATAATGGAATATTATTCAGCCACAGAAAGAAACAAAATTCTGATATGCTACTATGTAAATGAACTCTGAAAACACTGTGCTAAGTGAATTGAAATAAGCCAGACACAAAAGGACAAATACTGTACGATTGCTCTTATGTGAAATAGCTAGAAAAGATAAGTTCCTAAAATGGAAATAGAATATAATGAAGGGAAAGACTCTAGGGAGTTACTATTTCATGGGTACAGAATTCCTGTTTGGAATGATAAAAAATTTCTGGAAATAAGTACAATGTATAACATTGCAAATATGCCATATTTTAATGGCACTGAGTTGTATATGTAAAACGGCTAAAATGGTATATTTTATGTATATTTTACCACAATAAAATAAACAAAAAAATACCAGAGCTAGGTACTACTATAACTTAAGTGATAGGATAAGAGGAGTCGGTTGTTTTTCATTTTCCACAGTTTGTCATTAAAAAAAAAAAAAAGACTTTCTGACACTGTAGGAACATAAGAAAACTTTAACTTTAGCAACAGAAGATAACAATTTAATATTAATTACTATTTAATTACTATTTAATATATTTAATATTAATTAACTATAGTTATTTAATGATTTCTATATTCATCAATATAAAAGACTAATTTTGGCCAGGCATGGCTCATGCTTATAATCCTAGCACTTTGGGAGGCTGAGGTGGGAGGATCATTGAGGCCAGGAGTTCAAGACCATCCTGGTCAACATAGTGAGATCTCATCTCTACCAAAAAAAAAAAACGAAATTTAAAAATTAACTGGGCATGGGTGGTGCACACCTGTAATCCCAGCTACTCAGGAAACAGGTGGGAGGACTGCTTAAGCCCAGGAGGTCAAGGCTGCAGTGAGCTGTCATCATCCAACTGAACTTCAGCCTGGGTGGCAGAGCAAGTGCCCCCCTAACCCCGTCTCAAAAACACCCCAGACTAATTTCAATTCCTCTAAGTCTGTGTCAATAAAAGCAAATATATAATAATATCTGTAACACTTATTTTCAGTTCTTCTATTTACTCACCCCAAATTGGCATGTATTAAACACAAGCTAGCACCCAAATTAGGCTATTATTAAAAAGAAAATACACAGCAGTTATCTTCACTTACTTGCTGTTGTGCCTAAAAAGGTAGTCAAGAACCATAAAAAGTCCTTTAAGCATTATTTGAGTTGATGCACTAATAATTGGCACTTCTCTTGCCTCCTCTTTACCATAAATTGGTGAGATTTTTTCCTCTTTCTGAAGAACAGCAGAAAAATGTCCCTATAAGAAATTACCATATTAAGTATAGAGGGGTTGAGAGGAAATCAGAAAAAGAAACTTCTCAAAACTATAATGAAACGCAAACAAAACATGCATTGAAATTTTAGGTAAACAGAATTGCTATAGTTTGACACTCTAACTTCAAATCTTATATTGAAATTTGATCCCCAATAATGGAAGTGGGGCGTAACAGGAAGTTTGGGGTCATGCGGGTAGATACTTCATGAACAGATTAACACCCTCCCTAGGTGGAGAGGAGGTGAGTTAGTGCTCTATTAGTTCTCATGAGAGCTGGTTGTTAAAAAGAGCCTCACACCTCCCTCCCTTCCCTCTCTCTCTCTCTCTCTCTCTGTCTCCCCACTCCCCACTTCTCTTGACATGTGATCTGCACAAACCAGCTCCCCTTCTTCACCTTTTGCCATGAGTGGAAGCAGGCTAAGGTCTTCAAAAGTAAATGCTGGTGCTATGCTTCTTGGGCAACTTGCAGAACTGTGAACCAAATCAACCTCTTTTTTTAATAAGTTACCCAGCCTCGGGTATTTTTTATAGGAATACAAACAGACTAAGACAATTATTAATGCACAATGCCAACAATATTAATTTTAGATCACCATATTAGCAAAATTCTCAGAGTCAAAGACTCTTTAATAATAAGTAGGCATTTTGAAGAGTCATTACTTCTCAATCAGGGTATTATTTGGTGCCTTTCAGAAGTAAAGGATTAAATTAAAATGTAGCAAATGGCTTCTCTGAAGGGCTTTAAAGTGTTGATATGCTGCCTTAAATCCATGAATTATTTCCAGGGAGTAATTCTGATGCTGAGAATAATATGACTACATCACAAGCAAAATTAAATGACTTAAGGAAACAATGCATGCTAAATAAGAAAATGTATGTTAACTGGCTCATTCGTCTTTACATGACTTATAAGTTTTAATGTGCATGGAAGTGTGGACATTAAGAAAAAATTATAAGAAAACAGAAGAGTATGTTTCCCTCATTGTAAAACAGAAAATTCTGAATACTGAAGCAATAAAAGATACTGGTGACTTTGACAATAAAATGTGTTCAATGAAAATAAAACGGGGAAATAGGATAAATAAGAAAGATACATTTTAATATTTAGGTATATCATGAAACAACACAAATCTATAAGAATAAAAAATCCCCCTTCACTGAAAAAAATATTAAAGAATACAAATAAGTACAAAGACCTAAAAAAAAAAAAAAAAAAAAAAAAAAAACAAGAACAACAACAAAGAACAAACAAGAAGAAAGACAACATGAACTTGGAAAAATATTCAGCCTGCAATGAAATAAAAATATCAAATGATTCTTTTTGAAAAATGAAGTCCACTCAGCAACACCATACATCAAGGCTAAAATTCTCCTCCAACACTGGCAGAACACTGGCAATTTATTCTGATAAAATATAGAAAATATAAACTACTAACAGTGAGGCACTGTACTAAAAAGAGAAGGGCTAAATGAAATCCTACACATTGAATCATGAGAGTAGATCAAGCTCAATTCCAGGCAGGTTACCTAAACATTGGCAGCTGGGTTGGGGGTAGAAAAATAGAAAACTAAGCAATGGAAAAAATAGTTAATTATGGTTCCTTAGGAAACATAAAGTTGTATAAAAACATAATTAAGTAAGCTACATGACATTACTGTCATGAGCTATAATAATACATGTGATGATATCCACACTGAATATCAATATAACTATACTGGCAGAATAGAGAGTATAGAGAGAGAAGAAAAAAGGGAAAAAAAGCAGGAAGCATAGGAAGAAGAGAGAGAGAGAGAGAGAGCACATGAGTGAGTGAGAGTGTGTGTGTGTGTGTGTGTGTGAGAGAGAGAGAGAAAGAGAGAGAGAGAGAGAGAGAAATGTATGTGAGGGTATGCGTGTCTAAAGGAGCTAAATCATCATTATACTTAACAGGAAATCAACAGAGAACATCTAAAATTGAAAACTCAAAAGAAGCAGAACCCACATTATTTTTTTAAATGTAGCTAAATAACAGAAGAAACCACTATTAAGAAACGAGAGTGTACTCCAAAGTGAGAATTGGGATTGAGGAGTTAGTCAGAAGAATGCTTTTCTCAACAGAACTGACTGACTCTTTAAATTCTATAGGTATACTACTTTGGTAAAAGTTAATTTCTAAAAATTTCGATAATTACAGTGATTAATTTCTTAGCCTATTAGAATTAGGGCAAATTTTCTTTTTTTTTTTTTTTTTTTTTTTTTTTTTTTTTTTTTTTTTTGAGACGGAGTTCCGCTCTTGTTACCCAGGCTGGAGTGCAATGGCGCGATCTCGGCTCACCGCAACCTCCGCCTCCTGGGTTCAAGCAATTCTCCCGCCTCAGCCTCCTGAGTAGCTGGGATTACAGGCATGTGCCACCATGCCCAGCTAATTTTTTTTTTGTATTTTTAGTAGAGACGGGGTTTCACCATGTTGACCAGGATGGTCTCGATCTCTCGACCTCGTGATCCACCCGCCTCGGCCTCCCAAAGTGCTGGGATTACAGGCTTGAGCCACCGCGCCCGGCCCAAATTTTCTTAATCAAATAAAAGTAACTAATCATAACTCACAGAACCCACTTTAAAAAGGTAAATTTTAAGCATGTGAACTACAGCTCAATAAAGTTGTTAATTAAAAAATAATTTTTAACTACAGCAAACATCACAATAAAGGATGCAATACTAGTAATTACTCCTTTAAAGGAAGCAACAAAACCAGGATGTCTTTTTCATTGCCTGTGATAAACAACGCACTGGAGTATGAGCCAGCATAGTAAGAAATAGAAACATGAAGAAATTAGAAAGAAATGGGGAAAGAAAGAAACCGATCATTATTCAGACAATATGATTATCTACATGGAAAATTTAAGATAACATGTGGGCAAACCTGCAAAATAATTCAACAACGTGGTTGACAAGACAATTATAAGATAAATTTTTAAAAAATTAAACACCAGTTTTATATAGCAATAACAATTAAAAATGGAATTTTAAAAATATATCATTTGTAATGGAAACAGAAACTTTAAGCTACCTAAGAATAAGTCTAACCAAAAGCATCTAAATCTTTTAAAAATAAAATTATAATATTTTACTGAAAGATAGGAAGAATAAATAACTGTATCTTGTCATGAATGGGAAAACTTCATAATGTAAATACATTCTTTCCAAATTAATCCATAAATGCAATGCAATTCCAATAAAAATTCCAACAAAACAGTTCCTAGAGATTATAAGCTAATTCTAAAATTCAAATGGCAGAGTAAAACAAAGGACAGCTGATACAATTCCAGAGGAAAATAATGAAGTGAAAGATATGCCCTAATATATATAAGCACTTTTCTTAAGTCAGTAATTAACAAATGTGACAAATTAGAGAAACAGAATGGTAGAACAGAATCAAGTTCAGAAATAAATTCACACATATCTGAAAATTAGAGGGGCTGGATTTGGTGGTTCACTCTTATAATCCCAGTGCTTCAGGAGAACAAGGTGAGAGGATCGCCTGAAGTCAGGAATTCAAGACCAGCCTAGGCAACATAGCGAGACCCAGTCTCTACAAAACATAAAAAAAAAAAAAATCAAGCCAGGTATGGGTGGCTCACGCTCGTAATCCAGCACTTTGAAAGACTGAGGCAGGTGGGTCACTTGAGCGCAGGAGCTCGAGACTAGCCTGGGCAATATCACAAAACCCCATCTCTACAAAAAACTACAAAAAAACGAGCCAGCATGGTGGCATGCTTGGGGTACCACCTACTTAGGGGGCTGAGGCACAAGAACTGCCTGAACCTGGGAGGTGAAGATTGCAGTGAGCTGAGATCACACCAGTGCACTCCAGCCTGGGTGACAGAATGAGACTCTGCCTCAAAATAAGTAAGTAAATAATAGCCATGAGTGGTGATGCATGCCTGTAGTCCCAGCTACTGAGGAAGGTGTGGCAGGAGGATCCCTTAAGACCAGAAATCTAAGGTTACAGTGAGCTAAAAATGTACCACTGCACTTTATTCTGGGCAACACAGCAAGACCTCGTCTCTTAAAAAAAAAAAAAAAGAAAAAAGTAAAAAAAAATGTTTTTTCATTAAAAAAGAAAACTGAATATGTAGCAGAGGTGGCATTACAAATTAGAGGGAAATTAATATGCACTATTTACGAAATAGTGCTGGGATAATTCTCTATCCATACGGGAAAAATTTATTCATAAATTCACAACATAAACAAAATGAATCCAAAATTCATCTATACGGTTGTGTTGGAAGTAGTTCATTTTTTATTGCCGTGTAGTATTCCACTATAGAAATATGCTACAGTTTATCTTTTCTTAAAAAAAAAAAAAAAAAAAAGAGGGTCTTGCTCTGTGCCCCAGGCTGGTGTGTAGTGGCACAATCACAGGTCACTATAGCCTCAACCTCATACATTCAGGTGATCTCCTGCCTCAGCCTCCCAAGTAGCTGGGACTATAGCAGCACCTGCCACCACACCAGCTAATTTTTTTTGTATTTTTTGGTAGAGACAGGGTCTCTACTTGCCCAGGCTGGTCTTTAAGTCCTGGGCTCAAGCAATCTGCCAGCCTCAGCCTCTTAAAGTATGGAATTACTGCCAGGCACCATCACCCCCAGCCCCATTTGTTTGTTATATACATAGCTTTCAAAATGCAAACATTTCGGCCGGGTATGGTGGCTCATGCCTGTAATACCAGCACTTTGGGAGGCCGAGGTGGGTGGATCCAGGTGGGTGGTCAGAAGTTTGAGACCAGCCTGGCCAAGATGGTGAAACCCCATCTCTACTAAAAATACAAAAATTAGCCAGGTGCAGTAGTGGGTGCCTGTAATCCTAGCTACTTGGGAAGCTGAGGCAGGAGAATCTCTTGAACCCGGGAGGTAGAGGTCGCAGTAAGCCAAGATCACGCCACTGCACTCTAGCCTGAGCGACAAAGCAAGACTCTGTCTCAAAAAAAAAAAAAAAAAGCAAACACTTATGCAAAAAATATGAAAGATGTCACAATATGGAAAAATTCTTATAATAGATACCAAGTTGTATTCTATAAATGACAAGCAAAAATTTAAGTATAGCCTGATTAAAATACATGGTTTTCTTTTTTTTTATTTTGACACACAGTTTCACTCTTGTTGCCCAGGCTGGAGTATAATGGCACGATCCTGGCTCACTGCAACTTCCACCTCTTGGGTTCAAGGGATTCTCCTGCCTCAGCCTCCTCGGTAGCTGGGATTACAGGTATGTGATGCCTAGCTAATTTTGTATTTTTAGTAAAGACGCGATTTCACCATGTTGGTCAGGCTGGTCTTAAACTCTTGACTTCAGGTGATCTGCCCACCTCAGCCTCCCAAAGTGCTCGGATTATAGGCAAGAGCCACTGCACCCGGCCTAAAATATATGTTTTAATAGTCATGTGCCCAGAATGCTATTGTGATCATGTTAGCAATTATTTTCATCATTTTTTGTTCAAAAACCTCTTTGAGAAGTAACATCAGCAAGATGGTGAAATCTCAGTTTTCCAGCCAGGCACAGAGGCTCACGCCTATAAGCCCAGCACTTTTGAAGGCCAAGACAAGCAGTCAGGAGTTCAAGACCAGCCTGGCCAATATCGTGAAATCCCATCTCTACCAAAATTACAATTATTAGCTGGGCATGGTGGGGCATGCCTGTAGTCCCAGCTACTCAGGAGGCTGAGGCATGAGAATCACTTGAACCTGAGAGGCAGAGGTGGCAGTGAGCAGAGAGTGCGCCACTGCCCTCCAGCCTGAGCAATAGAGTGAGACTTCATCTCAAAAAAAAAAAGAAGAATTTGAGTTTTCCATTGTCACACTGTCATCTCCCAACAATGAACCAATTCTGACAATCATTCACATATGAGAGTACCTTTGTTAAGAGTCTAGGAGTCCAGCAGAGAAGTTCCAGGACCCCACTGGAGCAAAAAATCCAAGAACAGATGCACTGAAGAGGCCAATAAGCATAGCTTCATATTACCTACATCACCCCTGCCCCACAGAAGTACAGCTCAGTGCCAGGAGAGCAGCCATTAGCCCAGAATTATTCCCATAGAGTAAAGTGAGAATATAGTGAGTGATTAATGAAATAAAGAAAATGTGGCACATACATATATAATGAAATATTCAGTCTTAAAAAAGAAAATTTTGCCATTTGCAACAACATGGATGAAACTGGAAGTAATTACGCTATCTGAAATAAGCCAGATAGATAAATACTGCATGCTATCACTCATATGTGTAATCTAAATAAGTTGTACTCGTAGAAGCAGAGTCCTAAGCCCCAAAGTTAGCAGGAGCTGGGGACCAGGGAAATGGGGAGATGTTGGCCAAAAGATACAAACTTAGTTATCAAATGACTAGGTTCTGTAGATCTAATGTACAATGTGATGATTATAATTAATAATGATGTATACTTGAGGCCAGGCATGGTGGCTTATGCCTGTAATCCTAGCACTTTGGGAGGCAAAGGCAGGTGGATCACTTGAGGTTAGGAGTTCAACATCAGCCTGGCCAACATGATAAACCCTGTCTCTACTAAATATATATAGAGAGAAAAATTAGTCAGGTGTGGTGGCACATGCCTGTAATCCCAGCTACTCAGGAGGCTGAGGCATGAGAATCACTTGAACCCGGGAGGTAGAGGTTGCAGTGAGCTGAGATCGCACTACTGCACTCCAGCCTGGGTAACTGAGCAAGACTCCATCTCAGATAATAATAATAGTAATAATGTATACTTGAAATTTGCTGAGAGCAAATCTTAAGTGTTCTCACTACATACTACGCATACCCACACCCACACAAAGAAAAGGGTGTGAAATGATGGATATGTTTATTACCATGACTGTGTAATCATTTCAAACATATATCAAATTATTACATTGTATACCTTAAATATATACAATTTTTATTTGTCAATCATACCTCAATAATTGCAGGGGGGGAAACCTGTTTGAAACTCTATAATGGTAACTACAATACATGGAAGAAAGAAATCAAAGATCTAATTAACTGGAGAGATATTCCCTGTTCATGAATAAGAAGACTCATTGTTAAGATGCCAGTGCTCTCAACTTCATCTACAGATTCAATGTAATTCCAATCAAAATCCCACAGGTTAACTGAATACCTAGGAATTAACCAAAGAAGTAAAAGATCTCTACAACAAAAACTATAAAACAATGATGAAAGAGGACACAAAAAATGGAAAGATGGTATTCTTCACAGAAATAAAAAAAAAATCCCAAAATTTATATGGAATCACAAAGAACCCAGATTACCCTCAGCACAACATTGAAGAAGAATAGTCAGAGAAATAATACTACCCAACTTCAAGTCTTATTATAAAGTTACAGTAATTAAGACAATGTAGTATTGGTAAAGGAACAGACAAAAGGATCAGTGGAACAAAATAGATGGCCCAGAAAGACATCACAAACACAGTCAGACCTTTGAAAAAGGAACAAAAAGATAATCTAATGGAGAAAGGGTCGTTTTTTTCAACAAATGGTGCTGGAATAACTGCAAATCCAAATGCAAATAAAACATGACTCTAGACACAGACCTCACATCTTTCACAAAAATTAACTTAAAATTAATCACAGATTTATATGTAAAATGCAAAACTACAAAACTTCCAAAAGATAGGAGAAAATCCAGGTGATCATGAGTTTGGGATGAGTTTTTAAACCACAACCCATAAAAGAAAAAAAAATTGAATATGCTGAACTTCATTAAAGTTAAAAACTGCTCTGCAAAAGGCACCATGTCAACAGAATGAAAAGTCACAGTCTGTCTTATTTGCAAACACCTTTCTGAGGAAGGACTTATGTTCAAACTATACAAAGAACTCTTAAAACTCAACAACAACAAAAAATCCAATTGAAAAATGGGCAAAAAGTATGAACAGACATGTCACCAAGAAGCTACAGCAACAGCAAATAAGCATATGAAAAGATGCCCAACATCACATCTTCAGGGAATTATAAATTAAAACAGTAAGATATACTACACATCTATTTGACTAAAATTCAAAACACAGACACCAAACACTAGTGAAGATGTGGAACAGGAACTTTTTGTTCACTGCTGATGGGAATGGAAAATGGTACAACCACTTTTTGTCAAGAGACAAAGTCTTGCTATGTTGACCAGGCTGGAGAGCAGTGGCTATTCACAAGCATGCAATTACAGTGCACTGCAGCCTCAAATTCCTGGGTTCAAGCAATCTTCCTGCCTCAGCCTCCCAAGTAGCTGAGACTACAGGCACATTCCACCATACCCAGCAGGTACAGCCACTTTGAAGACTGTTCAGCAGTTTCTTGCAAAGCTAACCACAGTCTTACAATATAATACAACAATTGTGTTCCTAAGTATTTATCCAAATGAGTAGAATGCATGTCACTAATAGAAATGCTTATAACGGCTTTATTCACAATTGCCAAAAACTAGAAACCATCAATGTGTCCTTCAGTAGGTGAATGGATGAATAAACTGTAGTACATCCAGATAACGAAATATTATTCAGCTATAAGAAGAAATGAGCTATCAAGGCAAAACAAAAATAAAAACAAAAACAAAAAACATGAAGGAATCTTAAATGCATATTGCTAAGTTAAAGAAGCCAGTCTGAAAAGAATACATACTGCACAATTTCAACTATATGGCATTCTGGAAAGGCAAAACAATGGAGTTAGTAAAAAATCTGTGGTTGACAAGGGTTTGGTGGATGTGGGCGTGGTGTGGTGGAGGGATGAATAGGTGTAACACAGAAGATTTTTAGGACAGTGAACACACTCTGTATGATACTGTAAACGGTAGATTCCTAGGAAAACCTAATTGAACTCTCCGACACAAGGAGTAAGCCCTAAGGTAAACTATGGACTTTAATGAACTGTAACATATCAATAATTATTCATCAATTATAACAAATATACTATACTATTGTAAGAGATCGATAATGGGGAAACTGTGGAGTGGGTGTGTATTGTGTAGGTGTATAGGTGTGCAGCTGGGAGTGGGAATACATGAGAATTCTGGATCTTCTGCTCAATTTTTCTCTAAACCTAAAATATATAATCTATTAATTTAAATAAGTAGGAACAAAAAACATTTTTATTTGCAAAAAATACTAGAGAAGATAATGAAATTTGTGCAGCCTCTATTTAGAAAAATGTACAAAAATACATACTCATAAAATGTTGGCATATAGCTTCATAAGGTTCATAGTCTTCCAAAGCCTACTCATGATCTCTCCATGAATATCAGGTTTATAATTTCTAAATTAAGATGAACAAAATAGGAATTTCTTCTCTTTTTATTTTCTAAAATTTTAACTTTTACAATTGACTAAGTAAATCTACAACCTAAAAACACTGACTCCTTTTAGCATTAAAGCAATTAATTCCTTTAAAGACAATTTCCTTCAAACTACATAATGCTGTATTTCACCCACAATTTACCCATGACATCACTTAAAGATGATCAAATGTCGATAATAAAATAAAATTTAAAAAAATTAAATTGCTATATTTAAATTTTGGGGGTTACTCACTAGATTTTATCTGGATTTAGCCATGACTAAATCACTTCTAACTCACTAAGTAAATTGCACAGGTGAAAAATATCTTACCTGCAAAATGGGAAAAGTAGCAGTGGTAATGCCCATTTTGTGCAAATTTAAGAGCATTTCATTTCCACTCCATATTTTACAAGATGATTCATAATCTCTTTCTACAAGATATTCAGAGTTTGCTTCTAACCAACTGAAATAAAATAAAACAATTTTGTCAGCCAGTATCATCCTTACATGTACTATTTCAACAGAACAAGACCATCATCATTACTGTCTTGCATTGACATTCTTAGGACATGAATGTGGATTAAGATACCTTTTGAAAAGCATGCATGTCTCATATTGCAAAATGAACATTAAATAACTATAAAGAAAGCTTTTATTCAGAAGAAACATACATACATATGATTTCCCACTTGTTTTATGGATTCACACTGCTTTACTTAGCTAATGTCTCTTCAACTAAGAGCCATGTCTTAGGTACTTATCCTGAACATACAAAAAAGAAAATGCAAAACAACCTAATAAAGAAATTAGAGTGTTACATATTAACACAAAAAAGAATTACTAGAACATATATAAATATAATTCATTGATATATATACACAATCATACATTAGATAAGTGTTGGAATGCCTATTTTATTCCAGACATTGTTCTGGGTAGTGAAAATAACAGCAGTTAAATAAAATAGGCAAGGTCCTTACTCTCATGGAAATTACATTCTAGTAAAGGGAGACAGGAATAAACACAGAAACAAATACATAAACAAGAAAGTATCAGGTTGTCATGGGAAACTATACAGCCATAAAAAAGAACGAGAACATGTCCTTTACAGGACGTGGATGGAGCTGGAGGCCATTAACCTTAGCAAACTAACGCAGGAACAGAAAATCAAACATCACATGTTCTCATTTATAAGTGGGAGCTAAATGATGAGAAAACATGGACAAGAGGGGAACAACACATACTGAGGCCTGCTGGAGGATGCAGGCTTGGAAGAGGAAGACAATCAGAAAAAATCACAAATGAGTGCAAGGCTCAATACCTGGGTGATAAGATAATATATACAACACACCCCCATATCATGTTTACCTATATAATAAACCTGCACATGTACCCCTGCACTTAAAAGTTAAAAAGTTCTAATAAAATGGAAAAAAAAAAAAATCAGGTAGTGATATACAACAACACGAAAATAAATTAGTTTAATGTAACCTAGCTGCTACTTCAATTTCAATGTCAAGAATGCTCTCCCTCAGGTGACATTTTTTTCCAATAACTGAATGCAAAAAGTATCCAGACACAGAAGGATCAGAAAGAAAGAAATATCCAAGCAGAAGGAATAGCTAGGACAAAGGTCCTGAGGTAGTTAGCAAATTTTGCTTGTTTGAGGACCTGAAAGAAAGCCAATGTGATTTGCAGCACAGTGGGTAAAAATAAATAATGGTATGAACAATGTCAGAGTGATAAGCAGAAATCAGGTCATCTTGAGTCACGATAAGAAATCTGAATTTATTCAAAGTGCAACGGGAAGGCTTGGGATTTTTTTAATTTTTAATTTTTGTGGGTACACAGTAGGTGTATACATTTATGGGGTACATGAGATGTTTTGATACAGGGATGTAATACGTAATAATCACATCATGGAATATGGGGTTTCCATTTTCTCAAGCATTAATCCTTTGTGTTACAAATAATCCAATTATATTGTTTTTTGTTTTTTTCTTTTTGCTCCTCTGAATGAATTGAATCAAATCTTTTAGTTATTTTTAAATGTACAGTTAAATCATTATTGACTATAGTCACACTACTGTGCTATCAAATACTAGGCCTTATTCATTCCATTTTTTTTTGTACCCATCAACCATCCCCACCTCCCCCATGATCCTCACCTTCTACCCTACCCAGCCTCTCATAAACCATCCTTCTACTCTATCTCCATGGATTCCATTGTTTTCATTTTCAGATTCCAAAAATAAGTGAGAATATGTGATGTTTGTCTTTCTGTGCCTGGCCTATTTCGGTTAACATAATGACCTCCGGTTCTATCCATGTTGTTGCAAATGACAGGCTCTCCTTCTGTATTATACCTGAAGGATACTCCACTGTGTATATGTACCACATTTTCTTTATCTGTTCATCTGCTGATGGACACGTAGGTTGCTTCCAAATCTTGACTACGGTGAATAGTGCTGCAGGAAACATGGGAATACAGATATACTTTGAAATACTGATTTCCATTCTTTTGAGTATATATCTAGCAGTGGGATTGCTGGACCATATGGTAGCTCTATTTTTAGTTTTTTGAGGAACTTCCAAATTGTTCTTCATAGTGGTTGTCCTAATTTACATTCCCACCAACAGTAAACAAGGGTTCTCTTTTCTCCACATCCTCGCCAGCATTTGTTATTGCCTGTCTTTTGGATAAAAGTCATTTTAACTGGGGTGAGATGATATCTTACTGTAGTTTTGATCAGCAGAGAAATTCTGATCAATGATGTTGAGTACCTTTTCCTATGTCTGATTGCCATTTGTATGTCTTCTTTCAAGAAATGTCTATTCAAATCTTTTGTCTACTTTTAATTAGATTACTAGATTTTTTTCCTACAGGGGTGTTTGAGCTCCTTATATATTTGGTTATTAATCTCTTGTCAGATGGGTAGTTTGCAAATATTTTCTCCCAACCTGGGGGTTGTCCCTTCACTTTGTTGACTGTTTCCTTTGCTGTGCAGAAGCTTTTTAACTTGATGTGATCCCATTTGTCCATTTTTGCTTTGGTTGTCTGTGCTTGTGTGGTATTACTCAAGAAGTCGTTGCCCAGACTGATGTCTTGGAGAGTTTTTCCAATGTTTTCTGTAGTAGTTTCACAGCTTGAGGTCATAGATTTAAGTCATTAATCTATTTTGATTTGATTTTTGTATACGGTGTTAGATAGGGGTCTATTTTTATTCTCCTGCATATGGATATCCAGTTTTTCCAGCAACATTTATTGAAGAGACTATCTTTCCCCCAGAGTATGCTCTTGGCACCTGTGTCAAATATGAGTTCACTGTAGGTGTGTGGATTTGTTTCTGAGTTTTCTATTCTGTTCCATTGATCTGTATGTCAAAAATGAGTTCACTGTAGGTGTGTGGATTTGTTTCTGAGTTTTCTATTCTGTTCCATTGATCTGTATGTCTGTTTTTATGCCAATATCATGCTGTTCCTTTTGGTGGGAAGGTTTTAAACAAAGAGTTTTAAATAAAAGAGATGTAAATCTATCTAAATCTATTTAAATAAAAGAGATGTAAATCTATTTTATATGTTTAAAAAATAATTCCAGCTACTAAGCTAGAATTGATTACTGGAGAAAGACGAGTGAAAACAGAGACCTGTTAGGAGGTTATTATAATATTCTTGTCGAGAGAAGATTGTAGGATGATAGGTATGAACAGTCAATGAAATTGAGGAATTGGGGATATACTGTGCAGGTGGCATCTATAAGACTTACTGATTAATTGGATGAGATGAGGCAGTAAGAATATTATCAAAGATAATACTTAACTTTTTTATTTGAGGAACTGGTGCATACTATTTGCTTAGATGAGGAAGACTGGGGAGAAAACAGAACACAAGGGAAGGGAAAGAATTCTGTTTCAGATGTAAAGTTGAAATGTCTACTTGTTATCTAAAGAGAGCTATAAAGTAGACAGTTGGATATGAGAATGGCATTGTAGAGAGAGGTTGAAGCTAAAGACAGGTTCAGGCCCATCAGTACTGCAGATTATAATTTAAGCTATGATATTGGATTATATAATTTAGGAAAAACACGAGCTACGAAAGAAACTAGGTCCCAGTACCAAGTAAACCCTGAGGCACTCCAACATTTAGATATCAAAAAGAATAAGAATTATCAAAAGAAATTATGAAAGAATGGACTGTGAGAAGGAGAAAAACCAGAGATGTCACAGAAGCCAAGACAAAAATGCTTTCAAAGAGGTAGTCATCAACTACCCAACACCACTGTCTGGCTAAAACAAAAGAAACAATAACCTCTGTATTTGGCAATATAGAGATCACTGGTGATCTTGATAAGAACAGTTTCTGCAGAATTGTCCAGACAGCAACACTGCTAGGATTGATGAGGGAAGAATGTCAAGTTAGAAAATAGAATTAGCAACTATAGACAACTCTTTCAACAAACTATGTTGTAAAACACACACACACACACACACACACACACACACACAAATCTACATGGACAACACCACAAGAAAAGACACAAGTAAATGGCAAAATGGGGTGGAAAGTATTTACAACTCTTATTACAGGCAAAGATTTCAATTCCCTAATATGTAAATGGGATTCTATAAATCATTAAGGCAAAGAACCAAAATAAGAACAAAAAAAGGACAGAGATGTCAACAGGAGTTGACACAAAAGGAAATATAAATGGCATTTAAATATGCTTAATTCCACTCATATTAAGGAAAATGAATATTAACACTACATTGAATACTAAATGAATATTAAAACCACTTTTCACCTAGGAGGCTAGAAAAAAACAATTTCCATACTTTTATGCATTTCTGGTACATTAGCCCCACTCTCATCCACCTAATGGGTAAATTTAAGCAGTATCTATTTAAATTTAAAATATATCTATGCTTTCACCCAACAATTCCACTTCTAAAAACTTTTTTATAGATATACTTGCATATCAATGAAATTACATATGTTCAAAGTTATTCATTACAGCAGTATAACAGCAAAAGACTAGAAACAACCTCCTCTATTAATCAGAGGCTGATTAAATAAACTATTGCATATCTATCTAATGGAATTCTAGGTACCTATTTTTCTAAAAACCGAGAAAGTTTTCTAGGTCTTAACACGAAAAAGTCTCCTAAATAAACTGTGAAGCGAAAAAAGCAAGTTGCAGAAAATTTTATGTATAGTATGCCATTATTTGGACAAAAAATTAGGGATAAGAAAAGATACCTAATATTGGCTCATAAATGAGTAATATGCATTGAATGATAAATTTGTTTAGGAGAGCACAGACATTAAACAGATCAGGGAACGGGAAGGAAGGGAGGTTTTTACTATATAAATTTGTATACATTTTATGTTCAAACCATGTGACTGTGTAACATTCAGATTTTTTTAAGTATAATGTGAAGGAAACAAAAATGCTACAACCAATGAAATGGAATTCAGAGTCGAGAGGTTTTTTTCTATGATAACAAGACTCTAGCTCAATAACTTAATGTCTAATAAAAGAAAAATTATCTAGTGTAAATTTTCATAAAGCTAGTACTAAATATATTATTTGAGAGTACTGAAATCTTGGTTAATTAAAACTCATGAAACTAGAATCCTATTTAACTTGGAGAATAAAGCAAGAAATTAAAAGTCATGATCCAGAATTTTAAAATATATTAATTAAAAGAATGTTTAGTTTCTGGTTCAATATCCTATACACATCCTTTGGGGCCGCTAAGATCCTGTCAAATTAGGAATAAGATTCATAATTATTCATTTTAAAAAATCACTTATCTTCATTATATTCTTGTGAACAAGGCAAAAGGTTGGACTGCCTTGTTTTTAAAGCTTAATTGGCAAGGAACAATCCATTTCCCAAGAAGCCTAGTTAACTAAAGTTTACTGACTTTAAAATACTGTAGTATAATCAAACATGTTTTTAATATAAAGGCAGCACAAATATACTAATAAACATATATTCTTACTTAATGAGGCTATAGCACACAGCTCGTAGGGGTTCATGATCTTTTTTCCTTATATTATTGTTGACCATACTATCTAGTTCATCCCGAGCAAATCGAAGCTGAACTTCTGTTACACTGTAGCTTGCTGATTCCCGAGCACAGTCCTCGATGTTATGAGCTTCATCTAAAATGACAACCTGTTCTTTCAGATTTAAATCCATCTATAAGATAAAAGATTCTGTTGTAAAACATTTGGCCAAATGGATTTAATAATAGCAGGTAAGATATTTCATTTAGGGAGGGTGGGGGTGGTAAAATAATAATAATAATAATAATAATAATAATAAAAGAAAAAAAGACATTTCATTTAAAAATTCACACTATAGGCCAATATTGCAAATGCAATTACATAAGCAACTGATTTTAGGAATTAAATAAAACTTAAACACTGAGGCCAACTAAATATCAGCTCTACATTACTGAGTCTGCCCCTTTTTTACTCTCAAAATACTTTGCAAACCTATCAACAACAACAAAAATATGTAAGTGAGCCTGGATCAAGGTACCACTGGCTGAGCAGAAGGGTATAAAATCCCACTGTGAAAACATTTCCAAAATATTTTTACAAACTAAGCATAAGACCTTTAAAAATAAAATAAAGATAAAAGATTACAAGCATAAAACCTTTAAAAGTAAAATAACAATACAAGATTAGGCCAGGCACAGTGGTTCATGTCTGTAATCCCAACACTTTGGGAGGCCAAGGCTGGTGGATCACTAGGTCAAGAGATGGAGACCATCCTGGCCAACATGGTGAAAATCCGTCTCTACTAGAAATACAAACAAACAAACAAAATTAGCTGGGCCTGGTGGTGCATGTCTGTAATCCCAGCTACTCAGGAGGCTGAGGCAGGAGAATCACTTGAACCAGGGAGTAAGAGGTTGCAGTGAGCCAAGATTGCACTGCTGCACTCCAGCTTGGGCAACAGAGCAAGACTCGGTCTCAAAAAACAAACAAATAAATGAACAAACAAAACACAAGATTAAAATGACTCTTAAAATACTAACATAATATAGTGTGTATCTGTTGCATTTTAATCTGTCCTGCAATCCTTCTCCAACATGGGAGGTGGAGAATTGTTCTTCTCTAACTCCCAAGTGATGCTGGCAGGACTATTAACCTATGAATCAAAGAACATCACTACTTTCACAGCAGGGAAAAGGCCAAGATTATCAGTTAAATAGAGTATTCCATCCTTCTATGGTCAGAGTGACTAGTTCAGGTTCAGGAATAGACATGTGATCCATAGTAGGCCAATCAGAGTATTCTGGAGGGACTAACATGTGGCCATGCTCTTTCCTCCAGGTGAGCTAGTTGCTTATGGTTATCTTTGTTCCATAAGCAAGAGTGAAAACTTGCCTGAGAATAAAGCCATCACAATAAAGAGAATCAAGTATTTTTTCTTAAGCTCTTTTTAGGCTGGGTTTGTGTCACTTGTAATTGAAAGCATACTAATACAAGGAACTGTCACAAAGCAATTGTTAATGAGTTATTTTGAGGAAGTAAGAATACACAGAGAGCTGAAAAGTTGAGAAAGAACCATGGAAGAGTAGGAAATATATTTGGGTTTAAAAAATAAGTAGGATTTGAATTTGGACAGACAAAGAGAGAGTCGGGCATTCCGAAGAGGTGTCATCAAAAGCAAAGATAAAGAACAAAGTATCCTCAAAGGAGTATGAGGTAATTTTTGAAAGATTCAAATTGGGCAGATCCAGGTCAGACTATTGTGCAACTTTGAGTGCAGTAAGCTTAAGAAATATAAACTTTATCTCATGCACAAAGGAAGTGATAGATTTTTAAGCAGGTAAAAGGATGTAATAAAAGCAGTATTTGGAAAACTGACCTGGCATTGATATGCACAGTGTCTTAGAGGGAAGAGACCTAGTTAAGAGATTACCAAATAAGAAGTAGGATAGGAGGAGCAGTAAACACAATGCCTATTAATTTGGATCTTAAAGAAATAGAAAGCTGAGATGAATTGTGCAGTCAGACCTGAAGACAGGACTAGACTAACAATTGACTATGCCAAGTTATTCACTTTTTGTCTTATGCTGTTAACAATTGCATGTCTCTAAAAAGAACCAGGCAAATAAACACAAATGCTATATCTGAAGTTCACTTCTCAAAAGTTCACAAGGCATAATTTGCATAGTGTGTATATTCTCCCAACATAAGTTCTTCAAAACAGTTTTAAATAATTCTTTTTGAATATTTCATAAATGCAAAGAGAAACCCTGCTATAATCCCATGTCAGTCACTATGTTCCTTAAAACTGCTTATTTTGGAAACTAAAATGAGTGGGTCAAAAACTGTTTTTAATACACCTTAGAATATGTTTTTAGTACTCTAGTAGGTTTACAGAAATTTATTTACATAAATTAAAGTGAAAAAACATATTAAAATACCTAAAAGCTTTTATATTCAACATTTATATCCCCATGAGTAGGAAAAAAGTTCTAAATTTTACACATATACTCACAGTTTCCCTTATTTGTGCATCTAGAAGATAGTTGTAAGGACAAAATATGATGTCAGCATCTTGTATTAGTTCTCGGGCTGTGTAATATGGACAGACCCTTAGTTTCTTCCCTAAGCTGACAAGTTCTTCTATATCCCAGGCTTTGCACATCCCTTGGAAAGTCTGTAATGTGTGCTGATCACTAATTTTATGAACTCCATGATAAAAATAGCAGGATTTTCCCTAGAAACAAATATGCATAACAAAAATGTGAACCAATACTGGAATCCAATGAATACAGTAAGTTTATCCCAGAACTTGAGGAACATCATTAAAGCCACAAGGCTTAGATTTTACTGACTATGCCACCATGCCCGACTAATTTTTTGTCTTTTTTGGAAACAGATAATACCATAGCTATAATCACAACCAAGTCTAGTTGCCTCAGACTTAGAACTCCAAATCAGAAGAGCTCCAAATACCCTAAATTAACTTGGAAAAAATGTATTTTTAAAATATGTTTGTTATGGCTTTTTTTCTGATTAAACTAATGTTAGGCATGAAATATTTCTGGAAGGATTCACAAAACAATGGTATCACTAGTTGCTTCCAAGGATGAGAATTAAGTGACAGGGCACAGGAGTGGGAGATTTTTGTCTGTTTTGTACCTTTTCAATTTTGAGCCATGTGACAGTATTTCTTCTTCAAATATAAATAAGAAGGAAGGAAGGTAAGTGGGTAGGTTGGAATGTCCTCAGGGAAAATAAAGAAAGAGTATTCACTACAAAAAAAATTCAGGAATACCAAAAAAAAAGTCTCAATTGTTCATAATTCCATTACACAAAGAATGCACTGAAAACATTTTGGTGTATTTTATTTCATATTTCTTCCATACATGTATACGTAAGGATATATCTACAATGTGACCCAATATTAAAATAACAAGAACAAGGTAGGCACGATTACAGGTGTGAGCACTTTGGAAGGCTGAGGCAAGAGGACTGTTTTAGGCCAGGAGTTTGATACCAGCTTGGGCAATGTAGCAAGACTCTGTCTCTACAAAAAATAAAAAATTTGCTGGGATTGGTGGCGAACATCTGTTGTCCTAGCTACTCAGGAGGCTGAGGCAGGAGGATCACTTCAGCCTAGGAGTTTGAGGATATGGTGAGCTATGATCACGCCACTGCACTCCAGCCTGGGTGACAAACAAAGCCCTATCTCTAAATAGCAATAATAAAAAGAACAAAGCAAATGTTCCCCAGACATTAAGGATTATTAACAATCTAGTCACAACAAATAAAACGTTTTATAAAACTGTATTCACTTTGTTTTCCTCTGCCTAATGTATTAAAAATCATACCAGGAAAATCTTCCGACATCACTCAGCATCTTTCATTGCTGCTCATATATGTACACTGAATTAATGTGCCATAGCTGATGAACCAGTTTTCTTACTACTGGGCTTATAGACTGCTACCAATTTCCACTTTATACGTAAGGCTGCAGTGAGCATTCTTATGCTGGTTTCTAAATATTTTCTTAGTATACATTTTTAGAAATGCCATTAGGGGATCAGATGCTACGAAGTATTTTTAAGTTTCTTGAAAGCATATAGTGAAATTATCCTCCAGAAAGTATATACTGTTTTGCATTACCCTTTTCCCACATCCTTATTAACACTATCTTTTCTTATCTCTATTTTAAAAGTAAAAATAGAATCTTGTTTTGATTTATATTCTTTATGGTTTCTAGCAAAGTTTAACATAATGTTGTATACACAGTCTAACAAGTTTCAACAGTAATTTGTGTTTCCTCTTTTATGTTATCTACTGATGTCCTTTGCCATTCTTTTTTTTTTTTTTTTTTTTTTTTTTTTTTGAGATGGGAGTCTCACTCTGTCACCCCAGGCTGGAGTACAGTGGTGTAATCCAATCTCAGTTCACTATAACCTCTACCTCCCAAGTTCAAGCAATTCTTGTGTCTCAGGCCCCAAGTAGCTGGAACCACAAGTACATCACCACACACAGCTCATCTTTTGTAGAGACAGGGTTTCATCGGGTGGCCCAGGCTGGTCTTGAAATCTTGAGCTCAAGTGATTCACCCGCCTCAGCCTCCCGAAGTGCTAGGATTACAGGCATGAGCCACTGCACTCCACCCCATTCTATTACTGGAAATAAAAAAATTTCACTACAGGCTGGTCACAGTGGTTCATGCCTATAATCCCAACATTTTGAGAAGCCAAGGCCAGAGAACTGCTTGAGCCCAGGAGTTCAAGACCAGCTAGGCAACATAGGAAGACTCCATCTCTATTAAAAAAAAAAAAAAAAAAGGAAAGAAAGAAAGGAAAAATTAGACCACAGTGAGCAGTGACCACGCCACTGCACTCCAGCCTGGGCAACAGAGTGGGACCCTGTCTAAAAAAAAAAAAAAAAGCTCATTACATTTATTAATTAAAAAATAAAGTGTTTGATAAAACCCAGCCCTAACAAGAGTGTCTCATACACTATTAAAAATATACAAAATTAGAAAAGTATAAATTTTTTAGAAGTATAATATTTTAGTAGAAGTACATAGACAATTTGTCAAAAAAAAACTAGCAAAATTTAAAATTTTACCATTAATCTGAATAGATGTACACTATCCTGCTAAATAGCCAAGAAAATTGGAAATAAACCAAATGTCTACCCATAGGAGACATGTTAAATAAATATGGTAAATTAATACAAAAACTTTAGCCCTTAAAAATAAAAATGATTTAGATTTGTCTATGTGCTGATTAGGCTCTCTATGTTAAGCAAGAAAAAAACATGTTGAATAATGTGTATAGAATGATTAAATTCATGTAAATTGCTTTTTTAAAGAATATAGAGACATACATTATAACAAATACATTTTTTAAATGTTCTGGTAGAAAACACACAAAATTTTACAGTTGTTTCCTTAAAGGGTTAAAGAGATGGGAGGAGCTGGAAAAAGAGAGCCTCTCTTTTCGTTTTCTAACCACATAGATGTACTACTTTTCTTTTTCAATTGTCATTTGGAGCTAAGTGATAGAATAATGGGCTACTTTTATTTTCATTAATTCTACATATTTATTTTAAAAAAGATTTTGAAATAAAAATATTTATTTTTCCTAGTTTGCTGTCCTTAACAAAAAACAACTATATATAAAATACATAAATTATATTAGGGATGAAAGATTTTAAGGTAGCTCTATATATATACACACATACACTTTTTTTGGTATTTTTTAGAGTTTCTAGCAAGGTTTAATATAATATTGTATGACTACTCTAACTAGGTTCAACAGTAATTTGAATTTATTCTTTTATGTTGTCTACTAATGTCCTTTGTCACTGTATTAATGGAAATAAAAAATTTCATTACAGGCTGAGCGCAACAGCTCATGACTGTAATCCTAACACTTTAAGTGGCCAAGGCGGGATGAAATATACTCTATCCCTGTCTTTATGAAATCTTTATATTTATATGTATTTTTATCTATGAACTATCCAAAAGGAGAAATCTATGTTTTCAAAACATACATACATCAGTACATACACAAATGCATTTAGATATTGCTAGAAAGAAAGTCAACCATAAAAGATTCATAACCTATAAAAGAATGTCAGCAAGTCAAACAAGACATGAAGAGCTGAGGACCAGTTCTCTTAAAGCTTTGTATTCAGCCATGTTAAAGGATGCACCTGTTGGTCCTCCAAAGTATTAAAAATAAAAATTAGGGCCGGGCACAGTGGCTCACACCTGTCATCTCAGCACTTTGGGAGGCCAAGGCAGGCAGATCATGAGGTCAAGAAATCAAGGCCACCCTGGCCAACTTGGTGAAACCCCATCTCCACTAAAAATATGAAATAATTAGCTGGGCATGGTGGCACGTGCCTTGTAGTCCAACTACTTGGGAGGCTGAGGCAGGAGAATCTCATGAACCCAGGAAGCAGAGGTTGCAGTGAGCTGAGATCACACCACTGCACTACAGCTTGGTAACAGAGTGATACTCTGTCTCAAATAAATAAATAAATAAGGAGGAAAGGGCTCATTTAACTATATTTGTTTAGGTCATTTTATACATTATTATCACTTTCTCTAACCTCTACTGTTCTTATTCTTCATACTATGTCAACTTCTCCCTACCTCAATGCCATCTTTGGATTCTGTTTCTAGTGTACTCAAAATGGCAGTGGATGAAGAATCAGAAAACTTGCGTTCTCGTTCCTCCTTGCTAATTACTTGTCTGACTGGGCAAACTTCAGGGCCCATTTTGCTCATATGACTAAGCATCAAGAGAATATTTGACCCAGAAGGCTTGTAAGATTTCTTCTGACTCACTGACTATATCATCTCTAAAATTCCTTCCAGCTCTAAAATTCTGTGATTCAGGTAAAGATGTGTCAATCATCTTTCATATTCAGTTTGATACAGACTGAGTTTAATAATAAGACATTCACCATTTCTTCATTCCAAGCTCTTTCATAGAATTCTAAAAGCTTATCTTTATAGAAAATTATCACTATAGTACCTTTAGAATCTATGACTATGAGCTATTAAGTCTCATTTTAACCAAAAAGATACATATCCAAAATAATATTTCAGAATTTTCATCCCTGATGCTAGTTAAAATTATTTTTTCTTAACTGAAACAAAAAATAACTTTTAACAGCTAAGTGCATACGTTTCCAGTATAAGGGCACTTCAGTAAAAGAAACAATGAACAAGAAACACATGTGCCTTGGATCAAGCCAAAAAATCAGAAAGTTTACACTTTAAGGGCAGTTAGAATGACACCCCTGTGCAGGCTGATAGCAAAACCAGAAAAGCTCATCCATTTTAGCAGTGTAACACAACCCTGAGGAAGTCTGTCAATTGAAGTGTTATCACACTTTAAACACTTTGATTCAAATTGTCAGTTATCTATTTATCATTTCACTTTGGTAATTCAGTCATAGTAAACACAGACACCTATGGTGACTTTGTAATTGGCCCTCATTACAATACCAAATTACTAAGAGGGCTTGAGAACAAGAAAAAGGATGTTCATGTATGCCCATGAGGTAAGCATTCTGAGACAGAATTAGGTCAAGGCAAACCACAAACAGATACCTCAATTATTCATATTGCTAATATTCAAAAGTAAAGTACCTGTTCACTTTAAGACAAACTAAAGGCAATGAAAAATTCTGAACACTGAAGTCTATTGAACTACTTTTTATTTTTACATGATTCAAACTTACAAGTTTGAAGATCAATAAAGACATAACCAGTGCTGCAGGTTTCTAGGTTACACAAAATAAAACTATCTGTCTTCAATACACAATCTTACACTTTATCATCACTTTTACCAACATATTTTACCAATGCATGTTTTTCGTTGTTTGTTTTTGAGACAAAGTCATGCTCTGTCGCCCAGGCTAGAGTACAGTGGTGTGATCTCAGCTCACAGAGACCTCCACCTCCTGAGCTCCTGAGATCAAGTGATTCTCATGCCTCAGCCTCCCAAGCAGCTGGGATTACAAGCATGCACCACCACATCTGGCTAATTTTTTGCATTTTTAGTAGAGATGGGTTTCACCATGTTGGCCAGGCTGGTTTCAAATCCTGACTTCAAACGATCTACCCACCTTGGCTTCCCAAAGTGCTGGGATTACAGGGGTCAGCCATCATGACCAGCCAATGTATTTTTTACAAATACATAATAATTTTCCCAATAATAAGTTAAAAAAAAAAAAAAGCTAAAAATACAGTGACAATGCCAGCAAGTCTTCTTGCACAGGCTACATAGCCAAAAAACAAATTTCAAGCATTTGAGGAATTCAGCAGATCACTTAGTCACTATGGAAAGCAGTCTACTTATGCATGAAAAGTATGATGTTTTACCATGAAGAGCTTTATTTTATTATTTTTGAACACTTAACACTTTCATCTCTCCTTGAAGAGAAGTTATTTAATACACAGAATAAAGGGATTTCACAATTCCCTTTAGTTAGTTAGTTAGAAAGAACTCTTTGGAAATAAATATGACTAGAATTTCAGCAATGGCTTTGATTCAATAGTTCTGTATTCTCTCCTGGCTCTGAACCCGTCACTCAAGTTTTGCCATTGGACCACCTTACTACTTATACTGTATAATCTCACTTGTGTATCTATTAAAATATCTTTTGACTGTTCCTAAAGTTTAAATAAACTTTCATCCAATAAAAGAGAGTATTAAGGAGGAAAAGCATAAAACAAAATAACTAACTCACATTAACGTTATATGGTAAGGGGTGATATATCAATAAAATGAAATTCTAGGGGCAATAGCTCACAGTTTTTTGTGTAGAAATTACTCTGATAAGATACTTGAAAGACAAAACAACTTTCAAAATATATTAAAATATCATTGATCACTTCATAGTTATCAATTTACAGTTCACTGATTTTTGGGTATAATTTCATACTTGCAACTTCAATTTTAGAGTAAGCTAATTATCACACCAGAACACAGACTCCCAAACTAATACTGCCCAAAAAAATTATATGAAAGTTATATAAGTCTTCAGTAAGAAAGCCTTATTTCTACCAAGCTCAAATTCCTATTAATCTTATTTCCCTAGAAAATTTCAAAACCACTAATAGCATCTTTTTAAAGTTAATAATTCAGTATAACTTTTAAAAGAGAAGTTTGTATTAATCAGAATTATGAGATGGGATAATCCTTATATTTCTCATTTGATTAAAATATTCAAGATTTGCTCGAACAGAGAGCCTAAATAAACCATCTGCTTTTGATGTTTTTAAGTGTGTAAAGTATATTAATTAGACCTAATTAGACTAAATCATTTAAACACTTCTGTTCCTCATAGGACATCATCCACATTGAATTATTTTTGGTAGCAGGATTTAAAAGAAGAAACTGAGATATCTGACTACAATGGAAATTAATTTCAAGGAATTAAATATCCCCAAGCTTTAAAACCAAATCCCATTCTTTAAAACTTGACTAAAGATTTTCTAATGGTAAAATTATTTTTCAAAAGATATCAATACTAGCAGTTAATTTGATTTTCCGAAGTTGATTATTACTAGAAATGTACCTATAAAACATATACTGAGTAATTTCAATATTTTCAGCTTTGTTTCTCTAAAACAAAATAATTTTACTCACATTTTTCCCATCCAGCAATTCCATGCACTTTTCATTTCTGTTGAAGTTACCAACTACTTCAGGATGGATGCAAGTATGATCCCTGCTGGAAAGAATAGTCATTGGGACCCCTGAATATGCTGTCCTCCGGAGCTCCCTAGTAATCTGAGCAATCTGCTTGTGTGTGCGCGTCCCAAAATATATTTTGGGTATCTTGGATTTCCCCGTATGATCTTTCTTAATGGTATTCAACGACTCTTGACTGTTTCCTTGTTTAGTAGAACAACAGCACCGTGAACAGTGGCCAGGGGGCTGTAAGAAAAGAAAAAAATGATAACTAATATCTAAACTACCATAAAAAACGTTATCAAACCTCACATGGAATGAGAACCTGTAAGTAATGAATAACAATAATCAAATGAAGAGAAATTACAAGATATTACAGTATCTAAAACTTGCCGTTAAAGAAAAAAACTACAAATTCAATTTAAAATCATTCCTCATTATTTCCTTTAAGTTATACATGTTTCCACATTTGCATTCTTTCTAACATACCACTCTAACTTTCCAATTCCAAATGTTTTGAGTACTTTTTAACTTTCCTGTTTCGTAAATTATAAAAATGATAAAAGAAAGAAAAATTTTAATTTTTGCTTAGGCTTTATATGAACTTGTGATGTCATAGTTTAGAGTTAATAGTTTTGTTCACAGCATAGTTCAAATATTCCTTAATATACCAATGCTTTTGAAAAGCTTTTAAATATAGTTTACAAAAGAATAGAATTATCAAGTTGAATCTAAAGTATCACTTAACTTCAAGAAGAGAAAATTCTTCTTTAGCGAAGGTACCAAAATGAATGCAAAATATTAATATTTAATAATGAAAGCAGTTTGCGTGTGTGGAACAAGTATATCTGAAATTCAATTACCTGTCATGGAATGCAAACCCATCAGTAAAATTATCATCCAGGATAGTTTTTCCTGGATAATTTCACTCATAACTCAGTTTCATAATTTAAATAGTTACATAAATGTCTCTTTAAACAAACCATATAGAACATGAGGAATATAGTCTACTTAATTTACCTGATTTTTCTCTTCTGTTTCCAAATTCTCAAATACTAAAAAAAAAGTTTAATGCTATATATTAGAACTCACAGGTTCTTAATAACTATTCTCCTTCTAAGTCTCAATTATTACACCAAATGACACAGAACCAAGTCTCATTTTAGAGAAATAGTGTAAAACGGTTAATTTATAGAAGTGGTCACTGATGGAGAAGGAAAAAAGGTAAACAGCATTGCAACTTAAAAGACTATGTGCTGCATGTATAACTATGTAACAAACCAGCACCTTTGCACATGTACCCCAGAACTTAAAATATAACAATTAAAAGAAAGACTTTGTGCTAAAGAGTTTTAATTTAGTAGAAAACACTCAACTTTTTTTTTTTAATTATTGTAATCAGTAAGATTAGCCTTCATAAACAAATGCTAAGTCATAGCATGTTACACCACAGTACTGGGGATCAAGCTGTCTTTTAGCCTCAACTCAGTGGAAAAGCAAGTTCAAATTACTCCCAGTCTCACTCAACCTTGTCCACCATTAAATATTACAATACATGATAGAATAGATGTAAATGTGACCCTTCTGGAGCTGTCACTCACTGGGATAAAAGGTTCACTGATGTGCCAAATAAACAGTGAGTCAAAGCAGATAAAGTTACAGCCGTGCTGGAATTGTTATATTCTCCTCTCAGGTTGCCAGTAACAGCAGATTTCATTACAGAGTGCTGCCACATTAAATAGCCAGTTCCAAATATCCTGCCTTCTATATTGAATAATTACTTATTCACTAAAAGGATAAAAAGAAGAGTTATGAATGGGGCTCTTGTCAACAGGGAGGCAGGAAACAGCTGACATGTGGTTTGCGTTACATATGTTGCAATATCCAACAATTTATGGTCACACAGAAAATGGAATGCAAATTATATCATGATATTCCTGACTCAATTCTTTTTTGGGTTTTTCATTGATCACATTAATCAATTAACATACAAAAAGAATTAACGTAACTCTAGTAGAATTAATTTACTTTTTCATACCATCAGTCTTTTCACTCAATTATACTATTTCTCTTCCTTATGATATAGTTAAATTCATGTGAATACTAGAATGCCATGGTTCAATGCAGGGTTGGGTCATAGTATTTATAGATATAGAATATAATGTACATAGATACATTATATCTAAGCATAAAAGTAATCTAATAAAGTAGCTTTTCTCAAGGACAGGGAAAACTTTTTGATGTTACACTTTTCAACATTAATTCCACTTAAAGTTTTACCATCTACTCCTTTTAATTCCCCCTTTTCTCTTGGCCAAAAAAATTCAAACAATACAGAAATATTTTTTTAAAATCAACTAACCTGGCCAGACATGGTGGCTCACACCTGTAATCCTAGCACTTTGGGAGGCCAAGGCAGGTGGATCACGAGGTCAGGAGATCGAGACCATCCCGGCCAACATGGTGAAACCCCGTCTCTACTAAATACAAAAAATTAGCTGGGCATGGTGGTTCATGCCTGTAGTCCCAGCTACATGGGAAGCTGAGGCAGCGGAATCACTTGAACCTGGGAGGCAGAGATTGCAGTGAGCTGAGATTGTGCCACTGCACTCCAGCCTGGGTGACAGAGCGAGATTCCGTCTCAAAAAAAAAAAAAAAAAAAAAAAAAAAAAATTCAACTGTCCCATCACGAAGAATTTAGTGTATAACTTACCTTCATATATACATGTTTTATATCTTTTTTCAAATAAAAAGGGATGCTATTATACAGTTTTACAACTACTTTGTTTTCAAAGTTTTAAATTTATTTGTATTTATTTTCTTTAGCCTCGTGAAACACGAGGTCTCAAAAAAATTGGATAAAGACTCATAACTGTTCCTCCCCACGGAAATCTTTAGTAAAAGGCAAAAGATTTGTACGATCTGAAGAGAAAACAGAGTATGAAGTTTTTAATTTTTAAAAGGGATAAGTTTGGCAAGAATAATTTAATTTTACTGATCTTAAAATGTTACACTAGTATCAGTACTAACAAAAGCAAAAGATCAAGAACTAGTTTCAGAAAACTGTCCTCACTAGAGTTCACTTTATTTAGCATCTTAAATCTGTTTTTTACTCCATAATTCAGAATATTATAAACCACAGCTAACTTTATATTAAACATGTTTTTGTTTTTAAGTTGTAAAGTGATATGAACAAATTATAACATCTACGAACTTGAGTAGACTCCTTAAGAAGATGGTTTTCAATGGGTACTTAGGCAAGTAGGGTATAAGGTGGGAATTAAGAAAGTAAGTTAATTCTTTTTCCTTTGCATTACTAAACAGGAATTATTTCTTCAGAAACAATCTTCTATTAAAATGTCCATTTAAAAGATTTGGTACAGGCCAGGCACAGTGGCTCACATCTGTAATCCCAGTACTTTGGGAAGCCAAGGCAGGTAGATTGCTTGGGGCCAGGAGTTCGAGACTAGCCTGGCCAAAATGGTGAAACCCTGTCTCTACTAAAAATACAAAAATTAGCAGGGCATGTTGGCATGCTCCTGTAGTCCCAGCTACTCCAGAGGCTGAGGCAGGAGAATCGCTTGAACCCAGGAGGCAGAGGTTACAGTGAGCCAAGATCGCACCACTGCACTTCAGTCTGGGTGACAGAGCAAAATTCCATCTCAAAAATAAATAAATAATAAAATATAAGATTTGGTACAATCATATTTGAAGACAGAAAAACTGACTATAGTAACAGAAGCTTCAAAAAGTCATTTATTTTGTAACAAAAGTTATAAAATAAAAATCAACTTTCAATGCTCTAAGAAAACTAGAGGAAGGGTCCTGATGCCAGCAATGTCAGGAGGTCAGAATATCCCCCAATCGAATCATCAGGCTAACAAATCATGGGCTCTCTCTGAAACACTTTGATGCAGGGGTCTTAAAACAATTAGATGAATAAAATTTAAAAATTTCATATCTCTTATTATTTTTTCTGCTAACAAATAATCATGCTTATCTTTCACAAAGACTTTTTTCTTTTTCCTTTGCTGTTTAAATTGACAGTGATTTCCTTTTCTCCAGGTAACTATCCAACATATCTGAAAATTGAATACATAAAACCCTTAGGATTCCCAAAATTTGTATACTCTAAGACCTCTAAGAGGCTACACAGTGCCAGAACCAAACTCTTTAAGAAATGGCTTCGTCTCCAAAGTAGAAACTGTTCAGAGTCCTTTGACTTCAAGAAAAGGCAGGAAAACACAACCCAAGTAACTGTAAAAATATACTATCTTTTAAAGAAAAACACAAGAGATACGTGTGAATGTGACAGCTATAAGATTTCTGTATGTAGCAGTCAATTGTTTAAAAATACATTTCAAATTTACAATTATGAAAACTGTTCTTAGAACATCAGCAACCACGGATTTTCAGAAAATTTTTCTTGTGTTTAATACCTTCTATTCCCTCTCTTGTTATATTATATAAAGACACATCTAAATTCTTTCAAAGATGAAGGATTCGAAGATTTGATCTTGAAAGAAAGACAAATTGCTGACTCTTTGCCACTATTCCTTTCACAAGCTATAATTATAAGTTCAAATGGCAACATACCACAATGTCGACTTAAGAGTTTTGTAATGTTTTCTCCAAACTTTCCCTACCCCCATCCCCACACACACACAAATATACTAAGCCTGAATACCTGAAAATACCTGAAAAATGAGCATGATGATTAAATATTTTCAGAAATGGAAAATGATAAATAGTTAGAAACTAATTCTATTAGAAACTAATTCCATTTTCAGAAATGGAAAATGATAAATAGTTAGAAACTAACTCTTTCCTAACTGTGAATCAGAAGAGCTTCTCAAAGAAGACTACAAATTGAATTCTGAAAGCAGGCATGAGTATGAAAACTAAGCACATAAAGAAGTAGAGAGAAAGAGACACTGAAGAGAAACCTGTTTGAATAAAATAAAAGGAAAACTAGGTCAATGAAAACAGTAACTTGTATTTTTCCATAACTTTCCACATGTGTATGTATTATCTTTCCAACCACACTGCAAATTCCTTGAAGACAGAAATTATGTCTTACATTTCTTTATATAGCTCATTCATTGAAAGTGGTGTTTTGCACATAACTGTAACTTAACTTTTTTTTAAATTGATGAACTATGACTAAATGTCCCTGAACCAACTACTGTACCCATGCATTACAATTAAATCTGACAGATGCTTAAATGATGTCCTAATTAGAAGTG